GTGGGCCCTTTGCCAGCTGATCCACAGCTGGGCGGGCTGCGTCAGGGCAGGGCGTGGCGCTCTGGTGCCAGCCAGGGCAGCGTGTGGGGGCCGGGGGCGCCAGGCCAGGGGAGCGAGCGGATCCTGCTGGTCTCAGCCCCTAGGGCTGCCTGGCAGAGCCGCCCCCCACGCCGCCCCCTCAAAACGGAGCAACTGATTTGAATAAATAAATCAACTCAAGGGAACGCCCGGCTGTAGATCCTGCAAACTCCCCTAGACAGATCCACGGTTGCCAGGGCAGCGTGTGGGGGCCGGGGGCGCCAGGCCAGGGGAGCGAGCGGATCCTGCTGGTCTCAGCCCCTAGGGCTGCCTGGCAGAGCCGCCCCCCACGCCGCCCCCTCAAAACGGAGCAACTGATTTGAATAAATAAATCAACTCAAGGGAACGCCCGGCTGTAGATCCTGCAAACTCCCCTAGACAGATCCACGGTTGCGTTTGCTTATACTCAGAGTTGATACTTTAATGCTGAGGAATCCCCACCTCTCTGTCCCTCCAGCCCTGCAGTCTCTCACACCATAGAAAAAAGAGAGCGGGCTTCCCTTGTCCCATCTGTAACATGAGGCTAATGAAACTGACCTGAGTAAAGCACTCTGGTAGGAATAGACAGCGGGGATATTCTGGGAATAGCTATTCCACATGGGTCTTTGAAGCAAGCCCGTTATTTCAAAATATAACGATGTCCCTTGTAAACGCTGTTCCACAAGGAGTAAGGGATGTTTTGGAATAGTGGTTTATTGTTAAAGCTGTGTAGAAATTGACTAGAAATAAGCTACGCAATTTGTGTAGCTCAAATTGCACCGCTTATTTCAGGCTAAGGGTGCAATGTAGAGGCACCTTCAGAGGTCTGTGGCTGAAAAGCACTGGAATAAGGAGCTAGGCACGATGAGGATCAATAGATAAAAAAGTATATTAAGCATATAAGAACATATTGTAGGTGAAAAAGGTAACACTGCCCATAGTTAAGGTTGCCTGCATGCTCCATTATAGTACCCTGTTTCCAATAGTCCTCAGCTTTCACCAGTCAGGCCACAATTTTCCATACTAGGTATCTGCCTGAGGCTGATTTTTTTTGGAAAGTTTCAGCTTTTTCTTGGAAGGAGATTAGAGAAAAATGTACTGATAGCAAAACAATTATTGCTACTTTTTCTCTGAAAAGCTCTATACTTTCCCCAGGAAAACTGGCCCAAGTTATATGCCTCTGAAAAATCTCAGTTCACAATATACCCCATAGAGACTTGCTAGTTTGGCAGCTAAATTCACTGAGAATTCCATGTGCATTGAGTGGGTTCCAGCTCAGCGCTGGTGGGGGTAAACAGTTAATGGCAACTTGTGTGCACACTCAAAACTCCCATTGCTAGCACCCAGGCAGTGGGGAGGTGAAAGAAGAAGCTGCCTGGCTGGAATGCAGAGGGATGAGGCACAAAGAGATTAAGGCGGGGTGGAGGGGGAGGCATGCTGTGGTGGGGAGGAAGGGAGCAGAGATGGCTGGGAGGGATAT